CTGTAAATTTTGCTATCTGCCATAACTCTTCCCTAAAAATAGATTTCATGGTTGAAATTATGCTTAAAAAATTACTCTGTCAGGCAGGTGTGAGAAGGTTGTAATTAGTATTTTAGGAAACGCTTACTCATCTTTAATTGTGGTGTCTACACTTTAGCTAGCAGTAAGGTATGGTACATTTCTGACTAAAATAGGACAACCCAAATGTCTTGTGCCACATGTTACCAACTGTAAAAAAAAAAATTATAGCAAAAAATGCAGTTAAAAGAAATAACTGGTTGGTTCAAATAAAATGTGAACAATGGAAAGTATGTTCTACAACTCAAAGGATGTCAGATAACACAGCTGGATTTCAAATGAGCAGCTAATACTTCTTCTGGAAAGTACTTGCATGCTGCTCCCTGGGTTATAACTGCTTTGCGTTCTGGAGAATTGCAGTATGACAAATTCTTTCTTTTTTAGTTAATTTACTCTGCAGAAGAAAACACTCAAGTATTTTGCAACAAAAGTCCCTTTTCCTTCTTTATATACAGATGCATTTAAACAGTAATCTGGTGCGAAACAACCTTGTGTGGTTTTGAGTTGTAAGAGCTTTTATGAGTCAACAAGTGCAACTGAAAAAAAAGCTTTGTATATTCTTTAGTTTTGTCTTGGTTTGAACTGGGTGCTGAGAGCAGTAAGTTATCGCATTCATGACTGTAGCAATATGTCCTTCAATATTTGTGTATGAGGTGATGTTTTTTTATCCAAACAAAACCAAAGTGAACTTTAAATGCAGTAGCTGATAAGAACTAAAGATGATGGTTATTATTTAAATGAAACAAATATCATGAAGCTGATACTTTAAAGTCCAGAAGAGTCATGCAGTTGTCCAGGAGTCACACTGTGGTGTATTTTGCTGTAACTTCCTTTGATTTTTTTGGTTGCACCTGTGTTAGAAGCTCTGTGCCTGGTGTTTGAGGAACTGCTCTGGGCTGAGTTTTTGTGCTTTCCTGGTGGTGGTGTCTGTCACTATTGGCCTATTCTGTTAATCTGGGAGTGGGGTTTGCTTTTGGGACGAGCAAGTCTGACCCTTGAAAATGATGGTTTGTTCTCCTGCTTTATAGCTCAGAAAGTGAAATTAGTGTGTCCTGCCAGGTGGTGATTAAAAGTCATTAGCAGGTTATACTTAGTTTGGATTGTTATGAGTTCTGCTTCTTCTACTATAGATCCACATTGTTGGAACAGACCAGAGCATTTACTGGGCTGAGATTGTCCACCCCCATTTTTCTTGGGAGTTGAAATACTGATTTAAACAAGCTGTGAGGTTGGATTTTTAATATTTTTTTAATGCTTTGGTTACCTGACAAATGTGCCTGCCTGAAAACTTGCCTGGTTTCTGCAACTGCTAGGTGTTACAGTTTAAAAAGAAATTCCTTTCTTTTACAAACCTTGTTGCAGATCCTCCCAGTACTGCAGCATTGCTGCTGTTGCGGGTTTTCCTTATTTTGAGTCAAAACAAGCTATGTTTTAAGATTTGTTTTGTACCTTGGGAGAAGTAAGATGAGATTTTATCACAGCTGTCTACCTTTCTTTAATCTTTATTTAAGAAAAGCTGCATTTATAGGAAATACTTTGGATACAAGTAATCCCTAGAGTATAGGAGAGCTGCTCTTGCTGTAAGCCAAAAGGTGTTTGGAAAGCTTGAGAGAAATCACTACTTGTGTACACACACAGCCAGGATTGAGGGAGGTCTTTAAATGCACTTGGAAACAGTTTGTTCTTCCACTGTAAGAGTTGCAGAAATGTGTTACCTGTAAAGGCTTTTGTTGCTGTTAGATGATGATGCTTTTGCTGGGATGAGAATGGATATTTTCAGTCACTAGCTCATTTAAACCTAAGCTTCAATCTTCACATTGGTATCTGTAGCCTGTGTGGGGGTGTTCACCCTCATGTCAGCACTCTGCCCTGTGTCTGCCAAGGCCAGGTGTCTCCAGTCTGCTCTTTTGCTCTTCATATAGGTTTTTTAGTTTAACCAAAGTAACTTAAAAAGAAATAAATTAGGTTACTCCATAAGGAATAAACCTTTGTTTTCTTACTTATCTTTAGAGCTGAGATTTTTGGAAAGTGGCTTTCAATTAAAGAAGTTTTCTCTGGTAGTTTGCATAAGCAAGAAGGGAAGATTTGTTTTGTCATCAGTAATGAGGGAAGATTAAGACAGTGATTGCTTGTGGCAGGTGTTTAAAATACTGGTTTGCAGCCTAGGACAATCAGCATTACCTGCTGATTATCAGAATATATCAGAATATATATTAAAAACTGCTATATGCAATGTCTCCAAGTAAGCCTTTTTTTTTTTTTTTTGAAGAAATGAGAAGAATTCAGCAAGCAGTAAAAGCTATGAACTGTTTGTGTATTCTGACACTTGCACTCCTAAATTAAAATCGCCGTGTGTGTTTGTACCAGAGCACATTCTGGTTGTTCTGCTGAGAGTAAATAGTGTGCTGCTCATGGCAATTATACTTACAAGGGAGTTACAGATTCATTTATTTACTTGATTTTAAAAGGGACAGCTCTTTGTTACAGAGACAGTCTAGTTCTGAAGAGTTTTCACTAAGTTGTACCACCAGGGTGTGCTGCCAATATCTGTAGCAAATTTGGGATTTGAACACATTCATTTGTACAGTCAGAACCTTAATGTGACTGTGCTTTAGTTCACACCTTTTCCCTCAAATATTCTCTGCATAATTAGATCTCAGTCCCAAACTGGAAGCATAATATTTGTACTCTGTATCTAGAAGCTGCACCCAGCTCTTTCGTTATTATGGAAACATTCCTGTGTGGAAGTGCCAGGAGGCAGGATTTAGTTTGCAGTCTGGCTATCAATGACTAGTCTTTGTTCAAGGAGTTATCTGGCTAATGTAGCTTCAAGATTTAGACTTGTTATGTATTTAAATGTCTGTTCCAGCTTCATTCCAGTAACTCCTCATGTTTTGTTCATGCTTTGAACTTCTATAAACACCTCAGCATCTTCTCCCAGTCGGTGAAGAGGCAAAGCAGTTTTTCTGGTTGGCTGCCAGAGAGACTTCTATGCAAGAAATTTCAGGCTTGAGTGCTGTTATGTGGAGGGTGGGTTGCAGCCTTACTTAGTTAATTGTAACTGATTTTACTGCTTTCTGGTAAATTTCCTGCATCATGAAAGATGCTTTTGTTGTGACTTTTGAATTAAGATTCCTAGCATGCTTAAACTGTTGTAACCAGGGCTTAGCACTGAATTAACTGAGAGATTAAGGACCAGTAGTCTCGTCATAAAGTTATAAAGAAAAGATTTCTTAGTCTAGCACAATGAAAATGAAAAAAAATCCAAAACAAAAAACTCTACCACCAACAAGAAAACTCCGCAAAATCCAGAATTTGCCTTCCCTTTATTTGTTTGCTAGTCAATATTAGTACTCTTTTTGGGTTTTGGCAGGAACTAAGCAGGTACAGTATCTGTGTGTAAGTATGTATGTGCACATGTTTCTTGCTTCCTCACACATGTGCACATGCATGACATACTAAGGTTTTCTATAAGTGACTGGGTTTTTTTGAGTTAGAAACCACTGTCTTGGTTATGTACATTCAGTTTCCTTATTAGAAACTGTTGCTTGAAAAAAAATCCCTATTTTATGATCTCAACACTGAATTCTGACCTCCAATTCACATTTCTGTTTGGGAGAAGCAGTCTGTAATATACAGACATTCAGTCTCAAGGCATTTAGAGGATAAACACATTCGTTAATACAGTGATACCAGTCTTCTGCAGCAAACAAAAGCTACTGATGGCGTTTCTGAAATAAAGTTTGATTGTGTTTGCTTGTTGCTCAGGCAACTCTCGGAGTCTAGCCTAGGGAAAATGAACTCCTGCATCCTTTCCTTATCTAGAGCCCAGTGGTATCTGTAAGTTTATTGAAAAACCTGTCTCGTTGCTTGTTTTCCCATTTATATGATATGAAAATAAATCATTTAAGATGTATACTTAAGGAAACTTTAGGAGTGAGAGTGACTTTCCCATGGAACTGCCTCTGATTAGTTGTCAGAAGCAATACCCAAAATGAAGTTGGGCATGAGAGACATGGGAAAATCATGTTGGTTCTGTAAGGACTAATGAGAAAGAAAATGCCACATCTAATGTATGTTCATGTAAAAAAGACCTATTTTATTTCATATGAAACAGACTAAATGACAAATCTTGAGTTTTAATCACCAAGTGCATGGATTGAGGCTTTCCCTTGACTTGACAGATGAGTTAATTCTTTGTGATGCTTTATGGACCTGCTGCTTGTCCCAGGGTGAGAGAAAATCAGTTTCTCTGAAACTGGTACTGGTAAAGTGTGTTGTCACTGATGGTGCCAGGGACCATCTCTGACTGCTCATGGAGCTTAATACTCAGGTAAAATCAGGTGCATGACTCCTAGAAAGTTCAAAACCTGTTCAGTGTACTGAGCTGATACCTAGTACTTGGTTTCAAGTTTTCTAGGAGAAGACTGCATGCAATTAGTGTCCTGTCCAATGCAACAAATACCAGCATTGTGCTGATGTTGTAAGAAATTATATTGCACTGTACAAAATGTAATTTCCCATGTCCAGCTCCTATTTAAATCAGTTCTAAGTCTCAGGTGATTTTTGCATGGTTTGTTTCAAAGGAAGCAATTTCCATGGTGGTTGTGCTTCTCATAAAGACATTCAGCTATATTAAGGTGAGAGGGAGAGAAGATTTAGCAGCCTTCATCCAAGTGATATTTAAAATTACAATGGTGGAAAGCAAACAGTTTTTCTGTTTAAACAAGACCTCCCCACATCGCAGCTCACATGCCTGATGAAACAAACATGCTGTACTTACCATATAGTATTAAGAGAAGGGCAATTGGCATCACAAACAGACCCACGAGCAAATCTGCCACCGCCAAGGATGTCAAAAAGTAGTTGGTGGCATATTGCAACTTTTTCTCCAGAGACACTGCCAGTATGACAAGTATGTTCCCCCCAATGGTGGGAATTATCACCAGGAGGGTCAGCAACGCTGCCCAGCGCAGTTTGTTTCCTTGTTCGTCACTCAGGTAGTCCTGCTTGGGTGCTCCTGTTACTGAGAGAGGTGGCAAAGATCCGTTGACAGCTCCAAACCCTTTCAAGGAATATAAAGGACTGGACATTTTTGTGTCCAACAGAATGTACTCAGGAGCTGTATTTTGTGCAGGAATTGTGTACGGTGCGAGAGTTCCCTGTTGCTCTCTGGTCCAGGATGGTCCTGAGGAAAGGCCAGCATGGTCAGTATAGCAAACTGGTCATCTGCTATTTTGAGATACTGTAACCATGTCCAAGCTGGTATCCAGTTTTTTTATTCTGTGCCTTGCTGGGCGCAAAATAGTCTTAAAAATGAAAGTTCTGTCTTATGTCCATCTCTGGGTGGTAGGGTTCAGTGGTCTGGTCTCCCCTTTACAGCAAGGTTCAAGTTTCAGAAGATTTTAGGAAAAAACTCAGTAGCTGCAAAAAGTAAGCAGTGCATTAGCTTCCTTTCTTTTTCTTTCTACAGCAGTAAAAAGTGATAGACGAATCTGAATGCCAAAACAGTTCCCTTTAGAGTGTGTGTAGATTTGCTCTTCATGAGTACAAACTGATGCAGAGGCAGATGCTCGAGTTGTGTGTGTGCAACTCCTCCTCTCCCGAGTGTCTAGTCTCCAGTGGCGTGTGCGTAGGCAGACAGCAGTTCCCATATTTCCCCTTATTAAGAATCCTATTTCTCCACAGAGGGTAACCCCAAAAATATCTTCAGAAATTATGTATGAGGTTTCCATTTTAATCTCTGCAGTTCCTAATTTATCAGGTGAGGGTCAGGAAGCTGCAGACAATAAAACACTGGTGACAGTCTCAAGGGGATCGTAAAGGTTTATCGAACTGAGACATCTAAATTTACCCATTACTCGAAGGGGTGGGGGTGAGTAAAGCGCTTGTTTTTGTAATCTGAGCGGGGCTTTTATTAAGCACAGCCTGTTCTCTCCCTCTTTCTTTCTTGCTCTGTCTCTCTCAACTCTGCTAAAGATTTAGGGCTTGCATTTCCCCCTTCAAGCACAGACTCAAACAGCTGTCCCAGCGTTAAGCTGTACAAATGCTCAGTTACTGGGAAGATTTGATGTCTTGCAGTTTTCAGGTGAAGAAAGCCTTACCTCTTTCTCTTGCAATTTAGTAGAGTTCACTTTGTATCCGTGAAGAGCCTTTCTAAGTTTGTTTTTCGTCAGTTGCATAGTGAATTTTGAGAGTTTTCGCTACTTTCTGGAAAACAGGTTGTTCAGTTGGTTTTTGGCTTTTAAAATGTTTCTAAAGCTTGTATCCTTGTGTGCTTTTGTTTAGCACTTATATTTCTTCTGTCACCAAGATTAAGAATTTCTGTTTGGGAAAACGGTATTTCTCACCCAGGTGTTTTCTCCAACTCTGAAATGGAGGAGAAGAATCATTCTTCCCACATCCAAAAAAAGATAGAAATAAGGTTGTGTTCCTTTTTGCTGTCCTTTCACTTCCATTCTTGGTTGATTTTCCTGAAGTGATCAGCAGAGTCTGTGTGCAGTTTTCTCTTTGTTCATAAGCAAAGCTTGCGGTTTGCTGCTACCCTTGTTCATTGTGTGACTCATTCCAGCATATCCAGCTCCAGGTCTTGAAAAGCAGGGAAGTGAGTGAGTGGGGGGTTTGGCTGAAAAAGAGCCAGAGTGAGTTAATTGATTCAGTGCTCCAGTACCATAATGTGTGCTCCTTGTAGCTGTTCAGGATGTTTGGATCCTGGAAATGACCCTTCATGCCACGATAGCGCAGCTCTATGCGCCGCGGCTGCCTGTCTGCTCCCTCTCTGAGCTCTCTTGCTCACTTGCTTTCTGGAAGGAAGCACAGTTAACCCTAAGTTCTGCTGCCCTGTAAACACTCCAGCTTTTTTTCTTGCCTCATTTTATAGAAGTATTGTCTAGCACAATTTTTTTTAACTGTGCATGCTGTTACTTTAAAACTTTCTTCATGCAGCTGCTTTTTATTATCCTGAGTGTTCTCTTTTGTTACCTTCCAACTTTCAGTCAGATATGTGGATGGTCTCTAACATCTTCTTATTGTTCTGAGTTAAAATGGAAATAGAGTTCACTTCCAAGGACATTAGCTGCACAAGTCCTTGAGCTTAAGGCTGGAAGAGACCATGAGATCATGGTCCAAGTCGCTGTATGTCACCAACCATTACATCACATGAATTGTTAGTGCTCACCAGGCTTGAGCTGGGACTCAGATCCTTGGTGAGTCCTTTTGTATTTGTTAAGGAAAAAAAAAGAAATCATATATTTAGGATGCAACTTCTGTAGGGCCAAAGAGAGAAAGCTGCTGTGAGAAATTAATAGAAATACTTGATTTGAAGTGTGTTCAGCTCATAGAATAGGATTTTCAGTAGTTTTCACTTATTCCTTGCTGACTGTTTGAAGGAAGCTGGCACTACTTGCAGTATAGAATCATAGAATCATCAGGGTTGGAGGAGACCTCTAGGATCATCAAGTCCAACCATTAACCTGTCACTGCTGGACCCCCGGAACCCTAAACCATATTTTCCAGCACCAGATCCAGACACCTCTTAAATGCTTACAGGGGTGGTGTTTCCACCACTTCCCTGAGCAGCCTGTTCCAGTGCCTGACCACCCTAACAATGAAAAAAATGTCCTAATATCTAGTCTGAATCTCCCCTATCTCAGCTTATGGCCATGAAGGCCATATGTATGTCTGCATCAGAACTGGAGAAACAATGTTCCAGAGTAAAGGCACCAAAGCATAGTGAAAAATAGATTACTCATTTAACTTCAGTGGGTGTATGCCATGTGCAGATTGTCATGTCACATCACTGAATGTAAAGAGCACAATTAAAAATTCTGGGGAGAAAATAGACGATGCATCCATTGGGACCATCTGCTAATCATCAGCATCAGTTACTGTTTTCACATTTTGTCTTTCACAGTGCAGTAGACACTAATCCTCAATCACTTCAGAGTGGGGGAAGTATCAGAGAACAGTGATTTTGTCAACTTGAGTTCTGTGTTACTTTTTTATAAATTTTCTTCACAGATCTTGCTATCCAAGAAGGAGCACTGTTGGCTGCTGCATAAAGGGTTGGTTGGTCAAAGTGTAAATCAAGTGTTTATGCTTCTCTGGAATGCCTCGGTGGATGTTATAATGTCACTTATATGACAAAATCAGCTTTTTATAGCAACTAGAGTGACTAAATTAAATAAATTGGGAGGAGGGAGGCAGCTTGATGAAGCCCTAGCTGAAGGCTGTGCTGCTGACTGCAGATAGTTCTGATGGAAGTTATTGAGTACATTCATATCTAATTGAAAAAGAAATTATTTTTTAAAATAGAGATGAAAACAGTTACCTTAGGAAGTTGCAGAGGAAGATGATACGAGTTTAGTGGCATGTAGTCTTGCATAGCATTACATACCTCCTTGGTGCACTGTTTAATCTCAGACAGAAAACTTTTCTGCCTTTTGTGTTTTTTGAACTTTCCTAGGTTTGAATCATTTCTGAGAAACACATACTCCTCTATATCTATTAGATATCTGCAGCACATTCGTTACTGCATAATTCTGGCCAGGCTTTTTGTGCAGGCTGCTGTCCTGCCCCCATGTCCAGCTCTTCTCCTTTGTTAATGACAGTAAACCTTAAATCTTGCTAGACCTCAGTTCTGGTCTGCTGTGACCAGAAGATTTGAACCATGCCTAGGTAGTATTTTTATTTCCTACCCCTTGGTGTTACTTGTGTTTTCAAATTGCCACTAGTATTTATCTGAGTGGAGACACATCTCCATTAGATGTGACTGATACTGGTGGGGGGTGTTCAGTCGGTGCATATCCCTCAAGTTCAGCTGCTGTGCCTGTGGGCAGTGTGAAGTCCTCATTTGTTGTCAAGTCTTGCTTAGACAATGAGGAGGCATTTCAGAGAAAAACCTTGTGGAGAAGGAGGTTGTGCTGCACATGAGAGAGTTGCAGGAAATTCCTGGCTTGGGAATCGCTGGGATCACTTTTGTTGAGAGAGACAGACAGGGTGTTTAGTCTACACTGAAATATATCCGTTTGTTGCATTTTTCTCTGCAGGTTTTCAGTTTTCTATGTCTGCCCCCTTTGCTGCACACACTCCCTTCAGAAATGGCTGCAAACTGTGCAGTTAGATACGTACATTCCTCCTTTATTAACTCATTCATGGATGAAATAAAACTTCTGTTAAGCTGTTTTTTTAATTGGCACTATACTGCCAGAGCAGCTTGTGGAAATAGTTCTGTATAAAATGATTAATTCATGGCCAATAGTTTAGAAAGTTATAAATATTTAGAATCTTTTGAAATATGTCTGGAGAGACTTAATGAGGAATTTAGAAGATATATTTGACATTGTTCTTCAATTCTCTGACATTTCATTTTTCAATGAGTTATAAAGTCCTTAAATATTTAGACTAAAAAACAAGTGTATGTTAGTGATGCTTCAGATGTTTCCATTTTTAGTCTCAGTCACAAGAGCAGTGTGATGGGTTTTATTCAGCATTCTGTTTATTTGCTTATTGATCTTACTTTATATACATGTGCAGGGCTTCATGGTTAAATATTGCTGAAATATGAAGAGAAATGTCAATAATGCTTTAACCTTTAAGATGTGCAGCTTATAGAAATGGAGATAAACTGTGCAAAGGTATTTGGATGTGATTCTAACTGGGCTGTGATCTAAGAAACTTCAAGTGGAATGTGCTCCAAGATACGGCAGTCAGAGTTTTTTACTTGTCTTGTTGCATGCTTCTTGGAAAAAAAAAAAAAGATTAAAGTAGATTGTTAAACAGAGTTGATGTACCTAACAATGTTCCTCAACCTTCAGTAGCCTAACAAGGCTCTTGTAGGCAAAGCCTACTAAGAATTGTGATATCTACAGATGTTGCAGTTGTAATGACTTTCACTAATAAAACCAGTTTAGGTTCCTTACAGATTCCTGACAATGCTACGGGAAGAAATTTATCATGGTGGGAAGGCAGTACAATTTCATGGTGCTCTGCAAATTATGGAGAGCCTTCCATGGTCAACACCATGGACTGAAAGGGAGTCTGACCACCCTCTGTGTCCAGCTGACCTGGGTGGTTTTGTTCATGTTAGTCTGTGTTAGTAACAATCAACATCCTGGTTTTCATTTTATTAATTTTTGCACTGGAGGCTTAAGAAAAATTTTCTTTCCTCTCTCTTTGAAAGTAACGAAGAATTCAAAACTTTCTTTGGTTTCTCAGAAATTCCAGGGCACTTACAAGGTAAGTATCAGCTTTTATAGAGAGAATATGGTATTTATATATATTTAATTATATCCCAGAAATGAACATCCCCAGGAAGGAGATCAAAGTTGAGGCTAATACTAAGGTAGTTGGGCAGGAATTAGGCAGCTCCTCTGTGCTCTGTCTTGTTCTGGTTTCTCTGAAGATTGAAAATCCTTAGCAACATAGGGTGTTTGTTTCTTGTGAAGGTTTCAAGGGCAACCAGTTGGTGAGTAAAACTAATAAAATGCCAACTATTATGTTTTGCTGAGAATCTCTTATTGCTGTCTTGGTGCATCTTTAT